GGCAAAGTCCAGTGAAAATTGGTTTGGTCCAGTAAAGTTATATGCATTAGTGATGCCTGGGGACTAACCCTGTATATCATTCAAATCATCTTGGCATGACAAACCAGAATATATATGGTTTAGGGGTTGGGATCTCAACCATTTACAAGATATAAGAACTTTCTCAAATGGCAGGGGTCAGGATGACCCCTGGGACCTTACCCTGTATATCATTCAAACCATCTTAGCATGACAAACCAGAATATATATGGTTTAGGGGTCGGGATCTTGACCGCTTACAAGATATTAGAACTTTCTTAAATGGCAGGGGATGGGGGTGACCCCTGGGGACTAACCCTGTATTTCATTTGATGTGCTTTATCATGACAAACCAGAATATATATGGTTTATGGGTGGGGATATCGACCATTTACAAGATATAAGAACTTTCTCAAATGGCAGGGGGTCACGATGACCCCTGGGGACAAACCCTAAATATCATTCAAAATATATTAGCATGACAAACCAGAATATATATGGTTTAGGAGTGGGGATCTTGACAACTTACAAGATATTAGAACTTTTTTAAATGGCATGGGATGGGGGTGACCCCTGGGGACTAACCCTGTATTTCATTTGATTAACTTCATCATGACAAACCAGAATATATATGGTTTATGGGTGGGGATATCGACCATTTACAAGATATAAGAACTTCCTCAAATGGCAGGGGGTCAGGATGAACCCTGGGGACAAACCCTGTATATCATTCAAACCATTTTAGCATGACAAACCAGAATATATATGGTTTAGGGTGGGGATCATGACCACTTACAAGATATTAAAACTTTTTTAAATGGCATGGGGTAAGGGTGACCCCTGGGGACTAACCCTGTATTTCATTTGATGTGCTTTATCATGACAAACCAGAATATATATGGTTTATGGGTGGAGATCTCGACCATTTACAAGATATAAGAACTTTCTATAATGGCAGGGGGTCAGGATGACCCCTGGGGTCAAACCCTGTATATCATTCAAACCATCTTAGCATGACAAACCAGAATATATATGGTTTAGGGGTGGGGATCTTGACAACTTACAAGATATAAGAATTTTTTTTAAATGGCATGGGGTGGGGGTGACCCCTGGAGACTAACCCTGTATTTCATTTGTTGAACTTCATCATGACAAACCAGAATATATATGGTTTATGGGTGGGGATCTCGACCATTTACAAGATATTAGAACTTTCTCAAATGGCAGAGGGTCAGGATGAACCCTGGGGACAAACCCTGTATATCATTCAAACCATCTTAGCATGACAAACCAGAATATATATGGTTTAGGGTGGGGATCTTGACCACTTACAAGATATTAGAACTTTTTCGAATGGCATGGGGTCGGGGTGACCCCTGGGGACTAACCTTGTATTTCATTTGATGTGCTTTATCATGACAAACCAGAATATATATGGTTTATGGATGGTGATCTCGACCATTTACAAGATATTAGAACTTTCTCAAATGGCAGGGGGTCAGGATGACCCCTGGGTACAAACCCTGTATATCATTCAAACCATCTTAGCATGACAAACCAGAATATATATGATTAAGGGGTAGGGATCTTGACAACATACAAGATATAAGAACTTTTTTAAATGGCATGGGGTGGGGTGACCCCTGGGGACTAACCCTGTATTTCATTTGATGAACTTCATCATGACAAACCAGAATATATATGGTTTATGAGTGGGGATCTCGACCATTTACAAGATATTAGAACTTTCTCAAATGGCAGGGGGTCAGGATGAACCCTGGGGACAAACCCTGTATATCATTCAAACCATCTTAGCATGACAAACCAGAATATATATGGTTTAGGGTGGGGATCTTGACCACTTGCAAGATATTAGAATTTTTTTAAATGGCATGGGGTCGGGGTGACCCCTGGGGACTAACCCTGTATTTCATTTGATGTGCTTTATCATGACAAACCAGAATATATATGGTTTATGGGTGGGGATCTCGACCATTTACAAGATATTAGAACTTTCTCAAATGGCAGGGAGTCAGGATGACCCCTGGGGACAAACCATGTATATCATTCAAACCATCTTAGCATGACAAACCAGAATATATATGGTTTAGGGATGGGGATCTTGTTCACTTACAAGATATTAGAACTTTTTTAAACGGCATGGGGTGGGGGTGACCCCTGGGGACTAACCCTGTATTTCATTTGATGAACTTCATCATGACAAACCAGAATATATATGGCTTAGGGGTGGGGATATCGACCATTTACAAGATATTAGAACTTTCTCAAATGGCAGGGGGTCAGGATGACCCCTGGGGACAAATCCTGTATATCATTCAAACCATCTAAGCATGACAAACCAGAATATATATGGTTTAGGGGTGGGGATCTTGACCACTTACAAGATATTAGAACTTTTTTAAATGGCATTGGGTGGGGTGACCCCTGGGGACTAACCCTGTATTTCATTTGATGTGCTTTATCATGACAAACCAGAATATATATGGTTTATGGGTGGGGATCTCGACCATTTACAAGATATAAGAACTTTCTCAAATGGCAGGGGGTCAGGATGACCCCTGGGGACAAACCCTGTATATCATTCAAACCATCTTAGCATGACAAACCAGAATATATATGGTTTGGGGGTGGGGATCTTGACCACTTGCAAGATATTAGAACTTTTTTAAATGGCAGTGGGTGGGGGTGACCCCTGGGGACTAACCCTGTATTTCATTTGACGTGCTTTATTATGACAAACCAGAATATATATGGTTTAGGGGTGGGGATCTCGACCATTTACAAGATATTAGAACTTTCTCAAATGGCAGGGGGTTGGGATGACCCCTGGGAACTAACCCTGTATATCATTCAAACCATCTTAGCATGACAAACCAGAATATATATGGTTTAGGGGTGGGGATCTTGACCACTTACAAGATACAAGAACTTTCTTGAATGGCATGGGGTGGGGGTGACCCCTGGGGACTAACCCTGTATTACATTTGATGTGGTTTATTATGACAAACCAGAATATATATGGTTTAGGGGTGGGGATCTTGACCACTTACAAGATATTAGAACTTTCTTAAATGGCATGGGGTTGGGGTGACCCCTGGGGACTAACTCTGTATTACATTTGATGGGCTTTATTATGACAAAGCAGAATATATATGGTTTAGGGGTGGGGATCTTGACCACTTACAAGATATTAGAACTTTCTTAAATGGCATGGGGTGGGGGTAACCCCTGCGGACTAACCCTGTATATCATTTAAACCATCTTAGCATGACAAACCAGAATATATATGGTTAAGGGATGGGGATCTCGACCATTTACAAGATATTAGAACTTTCTCAAAAGGCAGGGAGTCGGTTTGACCCCTGGGGACTAACCCTGTATATCATTCAAACCATCTTAGCATGACAAACCAGAATATATATGGTTAAGGGGTGGGGATCTTGACCACTTACAAAATATAAGAACTTATTTAAATGGCATGGGTTGGGGGTGACCCCTGGGGACTAACCCTGTATTACATTTGATGTGCTTTATTATGACAAACCAGAATATATATGGTTTAGGGGTGGGGATCTCGACCATTTACAAGATATAAGAACTTTCTCAAATGGCAGGGGGTCAGGATGACCCCTGGGGACAAACCCTGTATATCATTCAAACCATCTTAGCATGACAAACCAGAATATATATGGTTTGGGGGTGGGGATCTTGACCACTTGCAAGATATTAGAACTTTTTTAAATGGCATTGGGTGGGGGTGACCCCTGGGGACTAACCCTGTATTTCATTTGACGTGCTTTATTATGACAAACCAGAATATATATGGTTTAGGGGTGGGGATCTCGACCATTTACAAGATATTAGAACTTTCTCAAATGGCAGGGGGTTGGGATGACCCCTGGGAACTAACCCTGTATATCATTCAAACCATCTTAGCATGACAAACCAGAATATATATGGTTTAGGGGTGGGGATCTTGACCACTTACAAGATACAAGAACTTTCTTGAATGGCATGGGGTGGGGGTGACCCCTGGGGACTAACCCTGTATTACATTTGATGTGCTTTATTATGACAAACCAGAATATATATGGTTTAGGGGTGGGGATCTTGACCACTTACAAGATATTAGAACTTTCTGAAATGGCAGGGGGTCAGGATGACCCCTGGGGACTAACCCTGTATATCATTTAAACCATCTTAGCATGACAAACCAGAATATATATGGTTTAGGGGTGGGGATCTTGACCACTTACAAGATATAAGAACTTTCTTAAATGACAGGGGGTGGGGGTGACCCCTGGGACTAACCCTGTATTTCATTTGATGTGCTTTATGATGACAAACAAGAATATATATGGTTTATGGGTGGGGATCTCGACCATTTACAAGATATTAGAACTTTCTCAATTGGCAGGGGGTCAGGATGACCCCTGGGGACAAACCCTGTATATCATTCAAACCATCTTAGCATGACAAACCGGAATATATATGGTTTAGGGGTGGGGATCTTGACAACTTACAAGATATTAGAACTTTCTTAAATGGCATGGGGTGGGGGTGACCCCTGAGGACTAACCCTATATATTATTCAAACCATCTTAGCATGACAAACCAGAATATATATGGTTTAGGGGTGGGTATCTTGACCACTTACAAGATATTAGAACTTTCTTAAATGGCATGGGGTTGGGGTGACCCCTGGGGACTAACTCTGTATTACATTTGATGGGCTTTATTATGACAAAGCAGAATATATATGGTTTAGGGGTGGGGATCTTGACCACTTACAAGATATTAGAACTTTCTTAAATGGCATGGGGTGGGGGTAACCCCTGCGGACTAACCCTGTATATCATTTAAACCATCTTAGCATGACAAACCAGAATATATATATGGTTTAGGGGTGGGGATCTTGACCACTTACAAGATATAAGAACTTTCTTAAATGGCAGTGGGTGGGGTTGACCCCTTGGGACTAACCCTGTATTTCATTTGATGTGCTTTATGATGACAAACCAGAATATATATGGTTTATGGGTGGGGATCTCGACCATTTACAAGATATTAGAACTTTCTTAAATGGCATGGGGTAGGGGTGACCCCTGCGGACTAACCCTGTATATCATTTAAACCATCTTAGCATGACTAACCAGAATATATATGGTTTAGGGGTGGGGATCTTGACCACTTACAAGATATTAGAACTTTCTTAAATGGCATGGGGTGGGGGTGACCCCTGCGGACTAACCCTGTATATCATTTAAACCATCTTAGCATGACTAACCAGAATATATATGGTTTAGGGGTGGGGATCTCGACCATTTACAAGATATGAGAACTTTCTCAAATGGCAGGGTGTCGGGATGACCCCTGGGGACTAACCCTGTATTACATTTGATGTTCTTTATTATGACAAACCAGAATATATATGGTTTAGGGGTAGGGATCTCGACCATTTACAAGATATTAGAACTTTCTCAAATGGCAGGGGGTCGGGATGACCCCTGGGGACTAACCCTGTATATCATTCAAACCATCTTAGCATGACAAACCAGAATATATATGGTTTAGGGGTGGGGATCTTGACCACCTACAAGATATTAGAACTTTCTTAAATTGCATGGGGTTGGGGTGGCCCCTGGGGACTAACTCTGTATTACATTTGATGTGCTTTATTATGACAAACCAGAATATATATGGTTTAGGGGTGGGGATCTTGACCACTTACAAGATATTAGAATTTTCTTAAATGGCATGGGGTGGGGGTGACCCCTGGGGACTAACCCTGTATATCATTTAAACCATCTTAGCATGACAAACCAGAATATATATGGTTTAGGGGTGGGGATCTCGACCATTTACAAGATATTAGAACTTTCTCAAATGGCAGGGAGTCGGGATGACCCCTGGAGACTAACCCTGTATATCATTCAAACCATCTTAGCATGACAAACCAGAATATATATGGTTTAGGGGTGGGGATCTCGACCATTTACAAGATATTAGAACTTTCTCAAATGGCAGGGTGTCGGGATGACCCCTGGGGACTAACCCTGTATTACATTTGATGTTCTTTAGTATGACAAACCAGAATATATATGGTTTAGGGGTAGGGATCTCGACAATTTACAAGATATTAGAACTTTCTCAAATGGCAGGGGGTCGGGATGACCCCTGGGGACTAACCGTGTATATCATTCAAACCATCTTAGCATGACAAACCAGAATATATATGGTTTAGGGATGGGGATCTTGACCACCTACAAGATATTAGAACTTTATTAAATTGCATGGGGTTGGGGTGGCCCCTGGGGACTAACTCTGTATTACATTTGATGTGCTTTATTATGACAAACCAGAATATATATGGTTTAGGGGTGGGGATCTTGACCACTTACAAGATATTAGAACTTTCTTAAATGGCATGGGGTGGGGGTGACCCCTGCGGACTAACCCTGTATATCATTTAAACCATCTTAGCATGACAAACCAGAATATATATGGTTTAGGGGTGGGGATCTCCACCATTTACAAGATATTAGAACTTTCTCAAATGGCAGGGAGTCGGGATGACCCCTGGAGACTAACCCTGTATATCATTCAAACCATCTTAGCATGACAAACCAGAATAAATATGGTTTAGGGGTGGGGATCTTGACCACTTACAAGATATTAGAACTTTCTTAAATGGCATGGGGTGGGGGTGACCCCTGCGGACTAACCCTGTATATCATTTAAACCATCTTAGCATGACAAACCAGAATATATATGGTTTAGGGTTGGGGATCTCGACCATTTACAAGATATTAGAACTTTCTCAAATGGCAGGGTGTCGGGATGACCCCTGGGGACTAACCCTGTATTACATTTGATGTGCTTTATTATGACAAACCAGAATATATATGGTTTAGGGGTGGGGATCTCGACCATTTACAAGATGTAAGAACTTTCTCAAATGGCAGGGGGTCGGGATGACCCCTGGGGACTAACCCTGTATATCATTCAAACCATCTTAGCATGACAAACCAGAATATATATGGTTTAGGGATGGGGATCTTAGCCACTTACAAGATATTAGATTGATTGTTGGTTGCTTAACGTCCAGTGGCAAATATTTCATGCATATTCAGGACGAGAACAAGTTCACAATAAATACAATAGGTAGGTTCTGTAATAGATTAAGGGGTTAAGGTCGGAGAAATTTAGACTGCCACAGGAAATGAGGGTATATTGGATAGGGACAGAAATTTAGCCTTCCAACAGGTCACCTACGGACCCCTCAAAGAGTTGTTGCAAGGGTTCTTAACGTGCAAAGAGCAAGGCACTCTCTTTACACGAGGCATCGGATTTAACGTCCCCATTCTGACCGGACGTGGCTGCAAATTTGTACATCCCGCACAGCCAAACAGACGCCCCACTTTAGCACGGGTTTTACTGCCGGTCGGAGGAAGACCAATGATGACCATACTTCTATTCCCCAGTCACCCTTGGGGGCCACAAGATATTAGAACTTTCTTAAATGGCATGGGGTGGGGGTGACCCCTGGGGACTAACCCTGTATTACATTTAATGTGCTTTATCATGACAAACCAGAATATATATGGTTTATGGGTGGGGATCTCGACCATTTACAAGATATTAGAACTTTCTCAAATGGCAGGGGGTCAGGATGACCCCTGGGGACTAACCCTGTATATCATTTAAACCATCTTAGCATGACAAACCAGAATATATATGGTTTAGGGGTGGGGATCTTGACCACTTACAAGATATAACAACTTTCTTAAATGACAGGGGGTGGGGGTGACCCCTGGGGACTAACCCTGTATTTCATTTGATGTGCTCTATGATGACAAACAAGAATATATATGGTTTATGGGTGGGGATCTCGACCATTTACAAGATATTACAACTTTCTCAATTGGCAGGGGGTCAGGATGACCCCTGGGGACAAACCCTGTATATCATTCAAACCATCTTAGCATGACAAACCAGAATATATATGGTTTAGGGGTGGGTATCTTGACCACTTACAAGATATTAGAACTTTCTTAAATGGCATGGGGTTGGGGTGACCCCTGGGGACTTACTCTGTATTACATTTGATGGGCTTTATTATGACAAAGCAGAATATATATGGTTTAGGGGTGGGGATCTTGACCACTTACAAGATATTAGAACTTTCTTAAATGGCATGGGGTGGGGGTAACCCCTGCGGACTAACCCTGTATATCATTTAAACCATCTTAGCATGACAAACCAGAATATATATGGTTAAGGGATGGGGATCTCGACCATTTACAAGATATTAGAACTTTCTCAAATGGCAGGGAGTCGGGATGACCCCTGGGGACTAACCCTGTATATCATTCAAACCATCTTAGCATGACAAACCAGAATATATATGGTTTAGGGGTGGGGATCTTGACCACTTACAAGATATAAGAACTTATTTAAATGGCATGGGTTGGGGGTGACCCCTGGGGACTAACCCTGTATTACATTTGATGTGCTTTATTATGACAAACCAGAATATATATGGTTTAGGGGTGGGGATCTCGACCATTTACAAGATATTAGAACTTTCTCAAATGGCAGGGGGTCGGGATGACCCCTGGGGACTAACCCTGTTTATCATTCAAACCATCTTAGCATGACAAACCAGAATATATTTATGGTTTAGGGGTGGGGATCTTGACCACTTACAAGATATAAGAACTTTCTTAAATGGCAGGGGGTGGGGGGGGTGACCCCTTGGGACTAACCCTGTATTTCATTTGATGTGCTTTATGATGACAAACCAGAATATATATGGTTTATGGGTGGGGATCTCGACCATTTACAAGATATTAGAACTTTCTTAAATGGCATGGGGTGGGGGTGACCCCTGCGGACTAACCCTGTATATCATTTAAACCATCTTAGCATGACAAACCAGAATATATATGGTTTAGGGTTTGGGGATCTTGACCACTTACAAGATATTAGAACTTTCTTAAATGGCATGGGGTGGGGGTGACCCCTGCGGACTAACCCTGTATATCATTTAAACCATCTTAGCATGACAAACCAGAATATATATGGTTTAGGGGTGGGGATCTCGACCATTTACAAGATATTAGAACTTTCTCAAATGGCAGGGTGTCGGGATGACCCCTGGGGACTAACCCTGTATTACATTTGATGTGCTTTATTATGACAAACCAGAATATATATGGTTTAGGGGTGGGGATCTCGACCATTTACAAGATGTTAGAACTTTCTCAAATGGCAGGGGGTCGGGATGACCCCTGGAGACTAACCCTGTATATCATTCAAACCATCTTAGCATGACAAACCAGAATATTTATGGTTTAGGGATGGGGATCTTGACCACTTACAAAGATATTAGAACTTTCTTAAATGGCATGGGGTGGGGGTGACCCCTGGGGACTTACCCTGTATTACATTTGATGTGCTTTATCATGACAAACCAGAATATATATGGTTTATGGGTGGGGATCTCGACCATTTACAAGATATTAGAACTTTCTCAAATGGCAGGGGGTCAGGATGACCCCTGGGGACTAACCCTGTATATCATTTAAACCATCTTAGCATGACAAACCAGAATATATATGGTTTAGGGGTGGGGATCTTGACCACTTACAAGATATAAGAACTTTCTTAAATGACAGGGGGTGGGGGTGACCCCTGGGGACTAACCCTGTATTTCATTTGATGTGCTTTATGATGACAAACAAGAATATATATGGTTTATGGGTGGGGATCTCGACCATTTACAAGATATTAGAACTTTCTCAATTGGCAGGGGGTCAGGATGACCCCTGGGGAAAAACCCTGTATATCATTCAAACCATCTTAGCATGACAAACCAGAATATATATGGTTTAGGGGTGGGGATCTTGACAACTTACAAGATATTAGAACTTTCTTAAATGGCATGGGGTGGGGTGACCCCTGAGGACTAACCCTATATATCATTCAAACCATCTTAGCATGACAAACCAGAATATATATGGTTTAGGGGTGGGGATCTTGACCACTTACAAGATATTAGAACTTTCTTAAATGGCATGGGGTTGGGGTGACCCCTGGGGACTAACTCTGTATTACATTTGATGGGCTTTATTATGACAAAGCAGAATATATATGGTTTAGGGGTGGGGATCTTGACCACTTACAAGATATTAGAACTTTCTTAAATGGCATGGGGTGGGGGTAACCCCTGCGGACTAACCCTGTATATCATTTAAACCATCTTAGCGAGACAAACCAGAATATATATGGTTTAGTGGTGGGGATCTCGACCATTTACAAGATATTAGAACTTTCTCAAATGGCAGGGTGTCGGGATGACCCCTGGGGACTAACCCTGTATTACATTTGATGTGCTTTATTATGAGTAACCAGAATATATATGGTTTAGGGGTGGGGATCTCGACCATTTACAAGATGTTAGAACTTTCTCAAATGGCAGGGGGTCGGGATGACCCCTGGAGACTAACCCTGTATATCATTCAAACCATCTTAGCATGACAAACCAGAATATATATGGTTTAGGGATGGGGATCTTGACCACTTACAAAGATATTAGAACTTTCTTAAATGGCATGGGGTGGGGGTGACCCCTGGGGACTTACCCTGTATTACATTTGATGTGCTTTATCATGACAAACCAGAATATATATGGTTTATGGGTGGGGATCTCGACCATTTACAAGATATTAGAACTTTCTCAAATGGCAGGGGGTCAGGATGACCCCTGGGGACTAACCCTGTATATCATTTAAACCATCTTAGCATGACGAACCAGAATATATATGGTTTAGGGGATGGGATCTTGACCACTTACAAGATATAAGAACTTTCTTAAATGACAGGGGGTGGGGGTGACCCCTGGGGACTAACCCTGTATTTCATTTGATGTGCTTTATGATGACAAACAAGAATATATATGGTTTATGGGTGGGGATCTCGACCATTTACAAGATATTAGAACTTTCTCAATTGGCAGGGGGTCAGGATGACCCCTGGGGAAAAACCCTGTATATCATTCAAACCATCTTAGCATGACAAACCAGAATATATATGGTTTAGGGGTGGGGATCTTGACAACTTACAAGATATTAGAACTTTCTTAAATGGCATGGGGTGGGGTGACCCCTGAGGACTAACCCTATATATCATTCAAACCATCTTAGCATGACAAACCAGAATATATATGGTTTAGGGGTGGGGATCTTGATCACTTACAAGATATTAGAACTTTCTTAAATGGCATGGGGTTGGGGTGACCCCTGGGGACTAACTCTGTATTACATTTGATGGGCTTTATTATGACAAAGCAGAATATATATGGTTTAGGGGTGTGGATCTTGACCACTTACAAGATATTAGAACTTTCTTAAATGGCATGGGGTGGGGGTAACCCCTGCGGACTAACCCTGTATATCATTTAAACCATCTTAGCATGACATACCAGAATATATATGGTTAAGGGATGGGGATCTCGACCATTTACAAGATATTAGAACTTTCTCAAATGGCAGGGAGTCGGGATGACCCCTGGGGACTAACCCTGTATATCATTCAAACCATCTTAGCATGACAAACCAGAATATATATGGTTTAGGGGTGGGGATCTTGACCACTTACAAGATATAAGAACTTATTTAAATGGCATGGGTTGGGGGTGACCCCTGGGGACTAACCCTGTATTACATTTGATGTGCTTTATTATGACAAACCAGAATATATATGGTTTAAGGGTGGGGATCTCGACCATTTACAAGATATTAGAACTTTCTCAAATGGCAGGGGGTCGGGATGACCCCTCGGGACTAACCCTGTTTATCATTCAAACCATCTTAGCATGACAAACCAGAATATATATATGGTTTAGGGGTGGGGATCTTGACCACTTACAAGATATAAGAACTTTCTTAAATGGCAGGGGGTGGGGGTGACCCCTTGGGACTAACCCTGTATTTCATTTGATGTGCTTTATGATGACAAACCAGAATATATATGGTTTATGGGTGGGGATCTCGACCATTTACAAGATATTAGAACTTTCTTAAATGGCAGGGGGTGGGGGTGACCCCTGCGGACTAACCCTGTATATCATTTAAACCATCTTAGCATGACAAACCAGAATATATATGGTTTAGGGGTGGGGATCTTGACCACTTACAAGATATTAGAACTTTCTTAAATGGCATGGGGTGGGGGTGACCCCTGCGGACTAACCCTGTATATCATTTAAACCATCTTAGCATGACAAACCAGAATACATATGGTTTAGGGGTGCGGATCTCGACCATTTACAAGATATTAGAACTTTCTCAAATGGCAGGGTGTCGGGATGACCCCTGGGGACTAACCCTGTATTACATTTGATGTTCTTTATTATGACAAACCAGAATATATATGGTTTAGGGGTAGGGATCTCGACCATTTACAAGATATTAGAACTTTCTCAAATGGCAGGGGGTCGGGATGACCCCTGGGGACTAACCCTGTATATCATTCAAACCATCTTAGCATGACAAACCAGAATATATATGGTTTAGGGGTGGGGATCTTGACCACCTACAAGATATTAGAACTTTCTTAAATTGCATGGGGTTGGGGTGGCCCCTCGAGACTAACTCTGTATTACATTTGATGTGCTTTATTATGACAAACCAGAATATATATGGTTTAGGGGTGGGGATCTTGACCACTTACAAGATATTAGAACTTTCTTAAATGGCATGGGGTGGGGGTGACCCCTGGGGATTAACCCTGTATATCATTTAAACCATCTTAGCATGACAAACCAGAATATATATGATTTAGGGGTGGGGATCTCGACCATTTACAAGATATTAGAACTTTCTCAAATGGCAGGGAGTCGGGATGACCCCTGGAGACTAACCCTGTATATCATTCAAACCATCTTAGCATGACAAACCAGAATATATATGGTTTAGGGGTGGGGATCTTTACCACTTACAAGATATAAGAACTTTTTTAAATGGCATGGGTTGGGGGTGACCCCTGGGGACTAACCCTGTATTACATTTGATGTGCTTTATTATGACAAACCAGAATATATATGGTTTAGGGGTGAGGATCTCGACCATTTACAAGATATTAGAACTTTCTCAAATGGCAGGGGGTCGGGATGACCCCTGGGGACTAACCCTGTTTATCATTCAAACCATCGTAGCATGACAAACCAGAATATATATGGTTTAGGGGTCGGGATCTTGACCACTTACAAGATATTAGAACTTTCTTAAATGGCATGGGGTTGGGGTGACCCTGGGGACTAACTCTGTATTACATTTGATGTGCTTTATTATGACAAACCAGAATATATATGGTTTAGAGGTGGGGATCTCGACCATTTACAAGATATTAGAACTTTCTCAAATGGCAGGGTGTCGGGATGACCCCTGGGGACTAACCCTGTATATCATTCAAACCATCTTAGCATGACAAACCAGAATATATATGGTTTAGGGGTGGGGATCTTGACCACTTACAAGATATTAGAACTTTCTTAAATGGCATGGGTTGGGGGTGACCCCTGGGGACTAACCCTGTATTACATTTGATGTGCTTTATTATGACAAACCAGAATATATATGATTTAGGGGTGGGTATCTCGACCATTTACAAGATATTAGAACTTTCTCAAATGGCAGGGGGTCGGGATGACCCCTGGGAACTAACCCTGTATATCATTCAAACCATCTTAGCATGACAAACCAGAATATATATGGTTTAGGGGTGGGGATCTTGACCACTTACAAGGTATTAGAATTTTTTAAATGGCAGGGGGTGGGGGTGACCCCTGGGGACTAACCCTGTATTTTATTTAATGGGCTTTATCATTTAGAACATTTTCAATTAAAAAGATTGTGTCTATCACAAACAGTTTTCTATTTATACTCATTTGAAAATTTTTAAAAATAAAATCCCATAGAGTTCTATAGTAAAACCCTCTTTTCTGTTTGCCCCTGAAAGTACCCCTTTATAAACCCCATTGCACAAACAAAACCCTGATTGCACCACTAGACATGTTAGTCTAACATATTGTGAAACCCTAAATTAATCTGATAAGCGGTTTTGGAGAACGGGTGCGGACAAGTTCAAATTTAAAAGCAGCGGAAGAAGAAGACGAAGAAGAAGAATAAGAACTGAGCAAAAACAGTAAGTCTTCCCAAACTTCGTTTAGGAGACTTAATTATCATTAAAGCAGCGACAGATTTTTGCTGTTACATTTGATACAATTATCTTTCAAATTAGGTCTATTTTAGGTAACATCTAAAAAAGTTATCTGGAAAAGATGACCGATTTAAGGTAACTTGTAATACAATTATCAAAAAAGTGGTCAAAATTTAATGTAAAATGTAGTAAAATTATTAACAGTGCAGCGTATGTTGTAGTTGTTACATTTGATACATTTATCTAAAAAAAAATATGATCGATTTAAGGTTACATTTAACTCTTGTAAAATATTATATTCAATTATCAATAAAAGGAGTGGCCGAGTAAAGGTTACATCTAATAAAACCATCTGAAAAAATGGCCAATTTAAGGAAATATCTAATACATAATCTTAAAAAGTGGTTGAATCTTGTAAAATGTTATACAATTATCAATGATGAAAGTGGCCGAATAAAGGTTACATCTTATAAAAAGGTGGTCAAAATTTACTGTAAAATTATCAATAAAGCAGCAACAGGTTTATCTGTTATATTTGATACATTTATCTATCAAAATTGGTCCATTTAAGGTTGGATCTTATACATTATCTATAAAAAGTGGTTGAATCTTGTAAAAATATAATAAAATTATCAATAAAAAGAGAGGCCGATTTAAGGTGAAAGTGACTGATTTAACGTTTCATCTACTACAGTGATCTTTAAAAGGTCGAGGAAAGGTAACATCTCATACATTTATTTAGAATAAGTGGTTAAATCTTTTAGAGTGTAATTTAATTTTCAATAAAAAAAGTTGCTGATTGAATATTTCATTTGATACAATTATCAAAAAAAAAAGGTCGATTAAAGGTAACAACTTGTACATTATTTAAAAAAAATAGTCAAATCTTGTAAAATGTAATACAATTATCAACAGAGATAGTGGCCAATTTAAGATTACATCTAAAGAAGTTATCTGGAAAAGATGACCGATTTAAGGTAACTTCTAATACAATTATCAAAAAAGTGGTCAAAATTTACTGTAAAATGTAGTAAAACTATAAATAGTGCAGCGTATGGTGTAGTTATTATATCTTATACAATTATCTAAAAAAGATATGAACGATTAAAGGTTACATTTAACTCTTGTAAAATATTATATTCAATTATCAATAAAATGAGTGGCCGAGTAAAGGTTACATCTCATAAAACTATCGGAGAAAATGGCCAATTTAAGGAAATATCTAATACATAATCTTAAAAAGTGGCTGAATCTTGCTAAATGTTATACAATTATCAATGATGAAAGTGGCCGAGTTAAGGTTATATCTTATAAAGTTATATGGATAAAAATGACCGATTTCAGGTAAAATCTAGTACAATGACAAAAAGGTGGTCAAATTTTACTGTAAAATGGAGTAAATTATCAATAAAGCAGCGACAGATTTAGCTGTTATATTTGATACAATTATCTATCAAAATTGGTCGATTTAAGGTTGCATCTAATACATAATCTATAAAAAGTGGTTGAATGTTGTCAAATATTATACAATTATCAATAAAAAGAGTGGCCGATTACAGGTTACATATATTAAAATCATCGGAAAAAATGGCCAATTTAAAGAAATATCTAATACACAATCTTAAAAAGTGGTTGAAATTTATACAATATTATACAATTATCAATGAAGAAAGTGGCCGATTTAAGGTTCCATCTTATAAAGTTATCTGGATACAAATGACCGATTTTAGGTAATATCTAATAAAATCATTAAAACATGGTCACATTGTCTGTAAAATGGAGTAAACTATCAATAAAGTAGCGACAGATTTTTGCTGTTACATTTAATACAATTATCTTTCAAATATGGTCGATTTGAGGTTACATTTAAAACAATTTTTAAAAGAATGGAAAATTTACTGAAAAATGTTGTTAAATTTTCAAAAAAGCTTTGACTGGTTCAAGTTTCCAACTTATACAACAATCAATACACATTTGTTGAATTCTTTTTAAATTATAGTAAAATAATCAATAAAGAAAGTGACTGATTTAAGGTTACATCTAATAGTTATATTTAAAAGGTCGAAGAAAGGTAACATCTCATACATTTATTTAGAATAAGTGGTTGAATCTTTTAAAGTGTAATATAATTTTTAATAAAGAAAGTTGCTGATTGAATATTTCATTTGATACAATAATTAAAAAAAATCGATTAAAAGTAACAACTTATACATATCTCCCCCAAGCGAGAACATACAGCACGCGGAGGCAGGCTCCAGCTGGTCCATTAAATATGTGTCCTAGTTCAGTGAGAGAGGGCGTCACATTAAACTCCGAAATATATAGATGAATAAACTAAATAAAAACATTTAAGACTAGCAAAAAACAGGCGCAAAAATGCAGCGGGGTCAACGTATTGTTTGAGATCTCAACCCTCTTCCTTAACCTCTAGCCAATGCAAATAGCAATATGCACATTAAAAAAGAAGTGCGAGTCGGATGTTAGAATAGGTAAAAGAAGAAACTAAGCAGAATAATATACTTATGCAGAAAGTACTACTAGTAGTTACTGACATGCCAGCGTCAATTCTCAAATTTATGATTGAACGATTAAAGTGCGGGTTAAGGTAAGGGTTATGGTTCAATCAAGAGAAAGGAGTGTGGTAATTGAGGAAGGAGGAAGGTATGTGGCAACAAGAGGAAGAAGGACGGTTATTGGTAACACAAGGAAGGGGGAAGGTATGATGCTAGATGTTAATGTTAGGTTATGGTATGTAAAGGGATATTATATCAGCCGACGAAAAATATCTTATGCATTTTTACTAAAAATCAGGGAGGGAAAACAAATGGAAAAGTTGAACGTTACCCTTGAAATTAGACAAAGAGGAATTTATGCTTCCATTAAATTGCCAAGGGTTGAATGTTTTAACATAAACCGGGTTGTGAATACTGTAAATATTGTGTTTATAAAGTTGACATCGATGAAGGCATGATCAGTTGTGACAACAAAAAATGCAATAAAGGAAAGTGACTCCATTTTTCTTGTATGGACATGACTGAACCAGAAGCAGAAGATCTAGAAAATGAAGGAAGAATGTTGTTCTGCTGTGAGGGCTGCCGAGGTACATCCAAAAAGAGTATAACAGTTAGTAAAATTGAATATACATGTTTACTTCTACTTAGAGGACTTGAAGAAATTGCTCATCACAATGCAATTAGCAATAATCATGGGTCAAAGATGAAAGACTTTTGGAAAATTGATTTATTTGACTTTTACAAAAGGCATCACATCATTACTTTTTTATGTCTCATCAGCTGATCACGGCTGTCAGTGAAGATGTTTCTAAGAAGACTAAGCCATCAATTAGTGTGGACTGGGAACAGTGAATTTGAAAGAGGGCACCAACACTGAGATGGGCCTTC